ACAGTCATAATGGAGCCATTACCAGATGATCTAAAGTATGTTTTTGTGGGGGAACCTGATGCTTCTGTTAGTGGGGCAAGTTTGGCTCAGGTCATGATCTCACAGTCTGTGAGTTCAAGCCCCACATCGGGCTCTGTGCTGACAGCTCAGAGCCTGCAGCCTTCAGATCCTGTGTCTGCCTCTCTCTCTGCCACTCCCCATCTTCTCTGTCTCTCTCTAAAAAATAAATAAACATTAAAAAATAAGAAGTAAAGTATGTTTTTGTGGCATGAGGAGCAGAGAATTGGGAAGATGTTTTGGGAGGGTACAGTAGGAGGGGATTCCTGGTTTAGGGGGCTGAGGGAAAGGGGGCTTACTTTCACCCTGTCACCAATTAGCTGGGTGACCTTACATAGGTCACCTAACTGTTCCAGACCTCGGGGTTTTCTTCTTCTCTCTGGGAAAGTTTTTCTTGTACGTATTAAATCGCCTGGTTTTCTAAAGAACGACCTTTGTCTTAAGTATTCAGTGCTCTCTGGAAGCAGAGAGAAAGAAAGCGGAGACCTCATCCAAAGCGACGTGTATCCAGTCTGAGAGACGGAAGTCACACCCTCTCAAAGGGCCCCCCTACGTATTACTCGTCCCCCTCACCTCCTCCGACATGGCCGCTGCTTCTGTTCCTCACTTCTTTCCTCTCAGACACCACGACAGAAGAAAGTGCCCAAAACCAATGTGCCTACTTTCAGTTACTCCAACCACCCCATTTCAGAGATGAGGAAAATAAAAACCAAAGATGTAGAGGTCACACAGTAACTGGTAAAGCTAGAACTTAAAATCTCCTTAATTCCAAACCAGGGGTCTCTTCTGCTGTGACAAACTGTCTCAGAGTCTGAGGGACTTTTGGATTCCCAAAGCAAGCGGGATTTCTTGTGACTGCTTCATGGGACTGGACACTCCTCGCAATCAGAAACAGCATGGTGGGCTAGGGTCATGGCTTTGAACGGTAGATTTCCCGGGTTTGAAGAACATGTCCCCAGCTTTCTAGCAATGTGAGTTTCGGGTGAGTCCCTAAACTCTGTTAAGACCCTGGGTTATTTTGCTCTTGGATAATGGAAATAATACCTGTATCTACCTCTGAGAGATGGATAGAGATTAAAATGAGTATCTTATATATGAATATATTGAGGTTAAACAAAATGGCATGTGTAGAAGTTTCCCATTGTTCCGGTTTAGAGTCAATGTTACCTGCAATTAGTTTCATGGTCATTATATTCTTTTTCATTTACATAATGACTAAGCCATAAAGAGACCCTGAAAGGAACCTCAGAATCGTAGTAATGAATTCTGACTGTGCTCCTTTTAGCTCCATGGCTTCAGGTAACTCTCCGAGCCTCAGTCAGCTCAGCAGCAAAATGGGAATTCAAACTATCTGCCTGTGAAGAATTTCCATGAAAGTCCACCGAGTTGTCCATGCGAGATAATGCATAAACCGGTAGAACCCTATAAAAACCCAAGGGTTAATGGTTTTATTAAAACATTGTTTTTCCTAGCTTGGAAACCCTCCGGATGCCTGGAGTTGGTTAACAGATAATAAAAGAGATAATGCCACTGTTTTATTTCTCGAGTAAGCCACCTTAGACATAAAACACCATTAAATCATAAAGGAATAGATGCATTTCCTCAATTATCACCGTGATCCATTTAATCCTATTCTACTGTTCTCCACCTAAACATGGGGTTCTCTCATAATTTTATCTTACCAGAAGATATGATAATGAGTAGCTCACAGGACAGGGCTTAGAAGGAAAACAGCAAACCCACCCTCCTCACTGCCTTCCAAAGTAAGGAGGAGAAAGATCTCAAAGCAAAGAAAATGCATTTGATGAAATATTAAACGCAGGCTTCCAAGAAGCCTTCACACCCTCGTTAAAATACTATCAAACTTTGCTATTGACTAGCTGCCCATTGCACGTGAACTTAAAAATATATTCATTATCAAGATACAATTTTGTGTAAGCTAAAGAAGCATCATGGGCTGGGGAATTGTTTTCTGAGTGGGATTATTAAAGGGTTTGGGGCCTAAAGGTGTATGTCTATTTTAAAAAGAAATTTTCTGATTGCAGATAACTTCTCAATTTGATTTAGTGTCGAACGATAGTGATGGGGTTGATAAGTGAGCGTTCATCGGTAATTCATCTTGTGCTGGTAGAAATTTACAGCAAAGCAGTGCTTTCCCAACAGTGACAAGCCCTATTAATCTTCTTCAGACACATTTCAATAGGTGTTCCCATCTGTGGCCAACATCTAAACACTCTGGCATCACCAGCGACTTGAAGACACCTTCATTTCAAGTTACACTACTGAAAATGTGATACTAGATTGTACTCTATTTTTTAACCTAATTCTCTCTCTTCATTCAATTAGCCTTTCTTGCCTGGATTTTTCTGCTCATGTGTAACATCATTTCCCAGGGAGAGCTCTCAAAGATTCAGTTTCTTAGAGATGCACAATCTCCTCCAAGGTTAACAACCAACAACTTTTTTGCAAATTAAAATTGCATAGATTCCAGTTGTGACAGTCGCTGGCCTTTGATTGCATATGTCCTTAGAAAGTACAACCTGCTCAAAGAAAGCCCACCAGTGCATTTGAGAGGGCACAGGAAAGGAGGACGGCTATAAAATCCATTTGCGTTCATATTCGGAATGCAATTTATTATCCTGAACTATGATGTTTAATTTCAGTGCAGAAGAAGGCTGAGAAAGGGAGAGGCAATTAAGAAAAGAGGGTGATGGAAATGTAGCCCCACGTTCAAATAGCCCCATTTACTCAGCAGTTTCATTCCATAGGATAAAACCCCCTCTCCTGTTCCTTTGCATCTGCTGGGGGAACTCCCATTAGAGAAAGAAATACAATAATCACTTTAGGGATAGATTATTTCGCCTAAATTAGCTTTATTCTACAGACAGCATGCTACCTCTGGCTGCAAGGTTAGTCAAGGCAAAAACTGTGGAGGGAGTACTTTTTTTTTTTTTTTTGGTGCCATTTTCATCCTCATAATGGACTTGGTCTTGCAAAGAAATGGGATTTGAACAGCATTTTTCTTGGGCACTTCAGAAACCTTTCCAAAGTGAAAACTCCCTGCCACATTTTTACTTTGGAAAGGTTAGATATACCTGCATAATGAATGGAATTATTTTTAACTTCATTGAACTTTTTTGTCCATATGTGATCTGAAATACCTATGAGTTACTAGTAAGTGTGTGTGTGTGTGTGTGTGTGTGTGTGTGTGTGTGTATGTGTATGATCATTTGAGTTGGTTATAGATCTCAATACCCTTATTGTAGGTGGCAAGTTTAAATGTGCCATATTAATAACTTGTTATCCAAGACAAATTAAGTCCTTATGTGTCAAAAGCACTCGGCACTGGATTATCTACAAGACAAGTATTTATTGAATAAATGTTCAGTCCAATTTCATTTTAATGTGACTGACTGTATGTTTCAGCCTCTTAGGCAGAGATAAAAACACTCAGACCTATAACTGTGTTGCAACATTACACCTAACTTGTCTATTTCTATTATTGTCTCCTAACTTAGAATATGGAAAGAAGGCTTTCTTCTTTCTTTTTTTTTTTTTTTTTTTTGGTTGTTGTTCTGAAGAGCAGGGAAAGAGATAGAAAAACGGCTGGCATTCAGCCTAAAGAGAAATCATTGAAACAAATTAATCCTATGCCGTTTAAATTGACATGGTAATCCATCATCAGAGAAGGCAAACTCTGAAAGCAATCTAGAATCTGCCCTGTGTTCTTTCACTGGCCCTGGAGGCACAAAGACAGATAGTAAAAGAAGGGAGGGGGAGGGAGTATCATAAAAGTTAGGAATGACTTTAGAAAATAATAAAATTGATTATATCAGCTCTCACCATCCAGCCTCTGAAAACCTCCTTCGGAAAGGAGAGGTTAACTTTCAAAGTTTCCCTCGAAGTGGTAGGTTGTCTGCAGAAGAGTTTGCTTCCTTCTGGGCTGCCAGGCTGCTGACGGGTGTAACCACTGCCTGCCGGGTTTAAAAAGCAGACCAACTGGGAGCTCTTGCTCCCCCACACTTACACAGAAACTTTCCCTCCAGTGGTAAGGGGCTTCTTACACGGGGTGTAGGACTGGGGCTTGTTTTTGTGTTTTGTTGGTGGTGGTTAGGTTGGTTTTTGTTATTATTGTTGTTGTTGTTGTTTGGTGGGGAGGAGGGGAAGGGAACCTTTTTCTTCCTTTTCTCTCCTATAATCATCTTGTTTTGCCCTCAGTGAGAACGCATGTTATTGTAATTTTTCAAGTAGAACTTTCGTAACATCTTTAAAAACGAAGATAAGCCACCATGCCCTGTCTCTTACTTGTGTGTGTGTGTGTGTGCGCGTGCGTGTGTGTGTGTGTGTTTCTTTTTTGGAAGCTGATTTTTCAAATCTCCCTTCATTTCCTTCACTCCTGTGATAATATGTTGCTCAAACTTGTTTAAAATTCATCAATTATATATAAAACTGAAGTGTCACATCCTGGTTCATAGTTAAGATGGAAAAACCCTTACTTACTACGAGCTCCGCTGTAAGAACGGTGTGCCTGTATTTCCAACACACTGAATCCTAAGGTGGTTTTTTTTTTTTCTCTTTAGTGTATTTCTGTAATGTTTTTATTTTTGTGTTTGTTTTTTGGGAGCCAAGGGCTGTTGAAGAATCCCACCTCCTCATTATTGCCTAGACATGTAAACTTGAACACAGAAATGCATATTATTTTTAATTTAATAATACATTCAGCTATAAAAGCAAGACAATTTGGAAAAAAAATTTAGTCTCAAAATCTACTCTGTTAACAATAGACAGTGTGTGAAGACAAAACCCCAGACACCTTAGTGCCAAAGACTAGAAAGCAGAAAGACATGGGTATAAACCATACCCCACAGCTGCCCTATTTAAATTTATCTAAGATAGAGGTTCTTCTAGTTTATTAAGAAAATTCTGTATGTTCCTGAAACTTCAGAGTAAACATCACACCTCTTTTCTGGAATCAGGTTTTTTTATTCACTGATTTTTCAAAGAGGGTGAATAATTCTTGGATACTGAGTAATGCTTTTTAAAGCACGTAAGCACAAAAGATAAATTAAATGCATTTCCAGGGTAAATAGGAAGAGGGTTAAAGGTTCTCATATAAAATATTCATCCACAGCCATGCCTGCAACAACTTTAAGAGTTATTAGCAAGGAAGGATAGGTTTAGATGTTTGTAAGTGTGTTTGTTTGAAGTAGAAGCTAGGAAATTTAAATAGTTGTTCTTCAGTAACTGAACAGTCAATTGCACTTTCTGAAAAAGATCTGATGCGTTTGATTTTGTTTTCTATTTAGAAACCATGTAGATGTTAGCAAAATAGTATATGATTTTAAAAGCCAATTAAATTAGCCAATATCCCATAGGAAAAGAATCAATGAGTGAATAAGCATTAAATCTTGGAGACTGAAAAAAATTACTTTTTAGCCCCATCCCTGCACCCCCAACCCCCTTTACAGTTTACAATGTATGGTTCCTTCTAACTGTATGGTAATATGCCAGGAAAGTACATGCAAAATGAAAATCTGCATCATAACTTTTGGAGTCAGGAAATAAGCTATTAGCATACATTCTGCAAAGAAGTAGGGTTGCCTAATTTGTTAACTTCCCTCTGACACATGATGTGATGTGGTCCTGTCAAGAAATACCCAATGTGACATTTTTCACTGAAGCCAATATTCCCTTCCTTTTATGTTTTCACTTTTGCTTTAAAATGTTTTAAGTGATATCATCTAAATCAATTTACCTCAGTCAAGCACTTCGTAATCTCTTAGATAAGGCTGATTAATTTATTATAAATTGTAACGGACAGATGGGAAAAGTACCTTTCTCTATCCTATATTCAAAATAAAAGGACCAGTGTACATTTCACTTGAATGTTACACTTTATAAACTCTCAGGATGAACCTCCTTATGGTCAAGAAGCTGAATATTATGTGAATATCTCCTATTCGGTTCATTTAGAACCGAAGTCCTTTCTTTTTAATGTGTGCCTTCAACATTGCAGGAAATCAGCCTTTTCAGAGGAGAAATGCAATTGGTAATTAATTAATTAAGTTTTCTAAATTTACACATAATGCTTTTCTCTGATGGCAGTGTGTCTTTGTTCATGAACTTGTTTAAATCTATGCTTTATGTTGAAACTTTGCTTTTAGCCTTCCAAAACCCAACAGAATAAAAATGAGCCCTTAAATTATTTTTCTCCTTCCAAAATTCACCCGGAGATTGTGGCTGAAGGAAGTCAAATCAGATAACCCCCCTTTGTTATTCTGTTTGTATTTTATTCAAGTACAGGCATCCGACTGATCAGCAATATTAATTTATCTGGATACTTGCCTTACTAACACCTTCACATTTAAATGATTGGCACTTGATGCCATTTGATTAATGCTTTTTTGACATACCAAAAATGAACTGTCATTTAAAAAATTTCATAACCAGGCTCTTATGAAAAGGAGGGGGGGGAAACATAGAATTCGATGATCTTTCCTCACTCTGTCCACTTCTGAGAAGTGAGGTCCACATGGCTTTAGATGTCTTTAGAACTTTCTCATCAGGAATTGCCTTGCACGATAATGTTAAAAGCATGTATAGCCCACATGAGACTTGGTTACATAAGGAGCAAGCCCCTTATGCTGTCATCTGTATCTAGAACCTTTCCTCTTTTAATTCCTCAGTTCACTGAAAAGCAAACCAGAGGGTCATGTGGTTGAATTTTTAAACACCTACACTGGGCAAAAGATGCTCACCTTTTGTTTAAAAGCCCTGCCAAAGCTACCACGCTGAAAATTGACATTTTTACTTTGAAAGGTCTTTCTATGATTCTGCAAGGCACAACTGTGTTACCATTACTAACTTGCTTCAGCTTGTATTTCAACAATAGTGATTCGAAGGAGCTTATTCAAAACTCTTTTTTGCACTGCTTTCTGCCAGACCCCGGCATGTACATATGAGTGACAGCCTCTATCTAGTGCCTGAGTATATGAACCTTTAATCCATCATGGAACTTCTAACACCATAAGAATATATACCTCCCCCCCCAACCCGTGCATACACCTTCATGCACATAACTATTACATAACTACCCATGAAAATGCCACCAGGTTTGAAGCCAGCAGAATGAATATTTTCCTAATCTCATCCAGATTTTGTGGCTATAATTTGGCTACTGGCAAGATTCTAAATTAGCTTTCACTTCAATGAAAGAAGGTAAAATATGTAGTTGGATCTGGGTTTTTTTTTTAACTCCCTCCCGTAATAATCTACGGTTATGCACATGTTAGAAAAAAATTTTTTTAAGTGAACTGGGTGGTCAGTTAAATGGAAGAAAATATTTCACTGCATTATGTTTTCTTATTCCCTAAAGTCTACCTCCATGGAGTGAGCTTCCTTGATAGATGAGACTGTTGTCTTTCTGAATGGAAACCTGCTTTCCTAGGAAGGATGGGGGTGGGGGAGACCCATGAAGGGCAGGGAGCTTGAAAATCCCTGCAACTAGACTGAATTTTCCCTCCCTCTCCCCCTCCCTCTTCTCTCCCTCTCTCCCTCTTCTCTCCCTCTCTCCCTCCCTTCCTCCCTTCCTCCCCTCCTTCCTTCGCTTCCTCCTCCTTTCTCTCTTCCTTCTTTACCACAGCCCCTTTAGTAGGTTAGTGTGGTTAACCTTCGCTCTGGCCAAGTCCAAGAAGGGTTAATGGAGACCCGGATCCTGACAGTCTCCAGGTCCTCGATACTCCAGAGCTCACATCGCAGGAATTAAGAGTATTACCAAGCAAAGAATTCCAGGCACCAATCGCCGTACACCTGAACACACTGCTCCAATCCATTAGGATTCATATTAAAATAATAATAATAATAACTACCCCTTCTGGAAAACGGTTAATTGGATCTGAAGTTATATTTCCTGTTGCACTGAGGGGCCAAGCAGGGCGACCTGAACTGAATTCCTCCAGCTGCCAAGAAAATCGAGCAATTTGGAGGGGAGGAGGAATGGATGGATAGATAGATAAATAGGTAAATAAATAAATAAATCTATCCGCTTCTTCGGCAAGAGCAGATTTTTCAGAAAAGGTCAGGTGCTGGGGGAAAGGAAGAAGAAATGAATCAGGTTCTCCCCTTTGCTCACCTTGCGCCCCTCCTTCCCCCCCTCCCAAAAAATTAGTGTCCTCTTGATTATTTGCAGCTGTGTCGAACCTCGAGTTTTGTTCCCAGTAGCCAGCGAGGCTCCCGCTTCCAGAAGTGAAAAGCCATTTTCACGCCAGGACTTTTGCTGCCTGAGTTTGGGGAGAAGGTTTCCTCTCCCTCTCGGCAAGCTCCCCCCAAAGCCTTGCTAACTTCCGCGAGCCCTGCGACCCTTTGCGACCCTTTGCTCCTCCGCCACTCGAGGCTCCTGCACGCAGCCCTGGGGCCACAGACCGATGGCCACCGCTGGAGCGTGGCTTCAAACCCCCAAAGCGACTTTCCCGCCCTGGAGCGAACGCAGACGTCCTGGGGGCTTCGCTGGCGTGTGTCACCCTGCACCTGCCTTCCTCGTCTGACCTCCTCCCACCTGCCCAGGAGCCCCGAACCTGGAATCCACCGGCCCTGTGGTCCGCAGCGGGTTCCGCCACCCGGCGGCCGCCCTAGACACTGGGTGGGTGGGAGGGACCCGCAGCTCGCGGGGCTGGGCCGCTGCGTCCTCTTTAGGGACATCAAAGGAGGAGAGAGGCAGAGATGCACCAAGCAGAAAGTTCGAGGATGCTTCGGGTCGCGCCTGGGGCGGGAAAATGCAACCCGTCCGGGTCACACCTTTCCTCCAGGAGGTGGCCTGGAGAGATGCGCGGCGGCGGAGCCTGCCGGCGTCCCCGCGCCGGGCCTGCGACCCCACGCCTGTGGCCACCTGCCCGTGTCGCTCGCAGCGTGGACCCCGCGGCGGCCGCGCGATCCTCCCCCGGCGGCGGCGGCCCGGGGAAGCCGGGCCTCGGCGGAGCCCCTGCGGATCGCCGCGCCCTGCGTCTCCCGTCGAGGAGGGAGGGACGGAGGCCTGTGCCCGGGAGCTCCCGGCGGTGGTCCGGCCGCCCACCCCCCCAGGGTTGCTCCCCCTT